TATCCATATTTTGGCTGCTCAAGTCGGTATAGGTACAGAAGTGCTTGTGGGCCGGGGCAAATATTGCGGACCATTAGATTAGGTGGTCGACTATCGTTCTGACTTGGTAAAGGTTGTCGTAGATTTTTTCCTTTTCGTTTTTTTGATAAGGCAGTGTTGTGAAGAACGTGAAGCGAGGAAAAACGACAAACCCCTTTTCGCTTAAAGCGTGAAGCGAGAAGCGAATCGCTCGCTTTTTTGAAGTGAAGCGGAATTTTCAAAGAAAAAATACTAAAATAAATACTGTATAGACAACACATGTAACTGTAAGCAAATGTTCAATACTTCAATGTAAAAACTAAAGAGTAGCATCAATAAAAGCACAAAATGAGCATCCTATTCTTCTACAAGATTGTCAAATTCTTGTATTCCACTATCATTATTATATTGCTCGTCATCTTCTTCTTATTCTTCATCAACTAGGGACAAAGGAATTGTAGCCGCTTCTTTTCCCTTACTCTGTGAGCACGAAGTTGAAGTACTCCCCCTCAAACTATAAATCCTCTCCCCAATTCCACGTGCCTCCGCAACATCACCCCAAGTGAAATTAGAAGCTTCCTCAAATACTTCTTCATCTGCATGATCTTCCGGGACTCCAGTTAGCCATTCATTAGCATCATCGATGTTGTCCAAACTAATTGGATCAATTATGTTGCGAGCGTTATAACGACGCCTCAATGTTCTATTATACTTAATGAAGACTAGATCATTGAGACGCTTTAAGGTTAGATTATCCTTTTTTTTTGTATGAATATGTAAATAATAAGTAATTAGTAAGATTAGGACAATTGAGATATAATTTAATTATCTCAATATACTAAATCTTTCTTCTTAGTTCTTTCATATTCAAACATGCTCCAATTCCTTTCACGCCCGGATGAGCAACAAGTTAGACTTAGAACTTTGATGGAGAACTTTTGTAATTCTGGAGTGGAATGACCATATTGCTTCCACCATTCAACTGTAGAAGTAGAACAAATATTCAAAACATAATATTTATAAAGAAATAACTTATTAACTATAAAGCAACATATAAGCACTCGCTCACCTGGTGACTTTGTCTTTCTTTGTCTAATAACCATGTTTTTTTCAAAAAGTTGCTCGGCATTCCTATAAGTACTAAATTGCTTTGTTATTTTATCTTGCTCGGATTCTTCAGGTATCAACTTCTCAATACCTTCAATGTATTCACTCCACAATTCTGCATCTCCTATAATCCTCTCTTCATTGTCATAAAACAGTTCCAGGTTCAAAACAAGTCCAACTGCATGCAATGGTTGATGAAGCTAATCTGTCCACCTTTTATCTATGATCTCAAAGACTTTGATTTTTTTTTTATCACTAAACGAGTCTCAAATAGCCTCATTTTCCTTATCCATTACTTCGTAAAGGTCGCCCCTTACTCTTTGCTCCCCATCCACCAAACGAAGCACTTTAACTAAAGGACCACCAATTTTCAATGCATGAACCACATTATTCCATAATGCATTAGAAAGCATAATATCTGCAGATTCTCTCCCTCAAGCTTCCCTTCCATAGGTACTGTTAGTGTACTCTTCTGAAATAGATAACTTCTTCAAGTTGGTTTTTTGCTCATACATCCTATTCAAAGTCAAGAAAGCGGTAGCAAATCTTCTCTTTACAAGTTTCACCAAGCTTCTTTGTTTAGTAAATCCCTTCATCATTTTCAATAACAAAGGCCTTTGAACAAGATAAAATGCACTCTAACTGCCTGATTAAAGACTGTACTGAAGGGTCTTTTCTTGAAAATGTCACCGAAGATCAAATTAATGCAATGTGCAGCACATTGGGGTCCAATAAATATGCTGGTACGCTGCAGTCATCAAATCACCAGCTTCAACATTTTCACTGGCGTTTTTCGTGACAACTTGAACAACATTTTCTGCTTCAATAGAGTCTATTGTACTTTTGAACAAGGAGTACATTTTTAAAGAATCAGTAGAAGAGTTGCTTGCATCAACGGACTCAAGAAACAAGCTTTCCTTAAGGAGAATTCACCAAGATTTGATAATCATTTTTTCATTTCTTGCCGTCCACTTATCCATCATAATAGAACAACCAAACTTGTTCCATTCTACTTTGTGCTCCTCCACGATTTAGTTAGTCTCTTCCACCTCTTTGTTTTTTTAGATATGGACCTCTAACTTCATGATAAGTTAGAGGCTTCATTCCTGGACCATATTGGCCTACGACCTCAATAAAAGCAGAAAAAATGTTAGTATAATTAACACAATTAAAAGGAAGACCTGCATCGTACATCCACTGCGCAAATATTGCAACTGCACGATCCCTTAAAATCTCTTTGGCATCAATTTGACGATTACCACTTTTCTCTGCCATATCTCCTGATTTTTGCGAGTAATGACAATCTAGAGAACCTTTAGTCTTACTAGTAGATCCACAACTTGAAGACATTGTTTGTACCCTTACCCGCTTTTGTGATTTTAATGGAAGCAACAAATCATCATCACCTTCTTCTATTTCATCATCGTCATCATCAAGATTATGCACTTGTTCATGATGCATTTAAGTTTTCAACTTTTTTTTTGCAGGTATGCTTTCATTTCTTCCTTCATATGTGACGGAACTTTAGGACAAGATGCAACGTTTGGATCACCACCAATGAGATGAAATTTCTGACGATAAATTCCCCCATTAGAAATCTTGTTACAAAAACGACATGTAATTGCCATCTTGTTGGTCTTGCTAGCTTTTTCAGAATAAGCCCAAGCCGGGTCTTTCCTATCTTTTTCTGTTGCCATTAAAAGAACAATTAAAGAACCAAAAAAAATGACAGTAAGAACAAAAGATAAGAACTGAAGAAAAAATAAAATTGGCAGCATTTCGCTGCAATTTTAAGGAATGAAACGAAAGTAAGAACAAGAAGAAAAGAGAATGAGAAAAAGAAGAAGAACTGAAGGAACAAAAAATTTTGGCTGCATTTCGCTGTTATTTTAAGCATTGAAAAGAAGAAGAAGAAGAAGAAGAAGGAAGAAGAAATCATACCTGGGCTTGAACTTGAAGAACTTGAACTTGAAGAGTGCTGAAAATTGAAACCCTAGTCGCTGCTTGCTGATGTTGTGAAAAAAGATTGAGCTTTTTTATTTTTCACTTAAGTAACGTTGGCAGTGACTTAAAAGATAGAAGCGAGCGCTTCAGTTGCTTCTCGCTTTGCTAGCGCTTCTCGGTTTTTGGCAGAAGCGGGCGCTTCAGTTGCTTCTCGCTTTGCTAGCGCTTCTCGGTTTTTGGCAGAAGCGGATGCTTCCACTTACCTGTTACGCTTCACCCTACCGAAGCGACACGGTGGCCGCCTCGCTTCGCTTCGCACTTTAAGCGCTGAGGCGAGCGCTTTTCATAACACTGTGATAAGGTAATAAATTTCATTAATAACGGTGAAAACATGCCCGTATACAAGTAGTATACCCAAAAAGTAGGTACCCTTACAAAAAGACATGGTTTTCTATGGATAACACCCAATCTTCCGTACAAATAGGAACCTCGTGGGTGCACCAAAAATAAATAAGGGAAAAAGGCTACTCCTCAAGTGAACAAGTTCTTTTTCTACTCCATCAAAAGCTCTCCTATTCCTCTCGTTCCAAACAACCCACATGAGCGCCAATGGAGCAACATTCCATGCGCTGCGTGTTCTCCTCCGTCTTTTGAAGGCCCAAACCACTTAGTACCAAACCACCTACCCCCCCCACAAACCCCAAAACAAATAGGAAGCTATCCGGCAATGTAAAATGGGGCGATTCACATCTTCTCCCGATTCTTTGCACATGAAGCACCAACTAACACAAGTGATCTTCCTTTTCCTCAAGTTCTCCACCATCAATATCACCCTTCTTGTAGCTAGCCAAGTGAAGAAACACACCTTTCTCGGCACCTGAAAGTCCATACTGAATTATGTGGGAAGACTGGCTCCTCCCTATTTAGAAGCTTCTCATAGTAGGACCTAACGAAAAAAAATGCCATTTTCCGCGGCACCAAATGGAATAACAAAATAAGGTTAGATGCAACCTAGGTGTTTGCAATCTTACGGTTATTTGGAGAGCTGGTAAAAGAATGGAACCTTCAGATTTCATCACCTCCTATGAACCTCCTCAATTTTTACAGTTGAGATTCTCTCTTTTTGACATTGTCAAGAGAATGTCGGAAATCTCGTCCTATGCTGTAATTGATACCACTATGGCTTAGATAGGACCTTTGATTTGCTCAATTGTGATTTTTGCTGCTATGTGATCTTCTGTTGAGCTGCTGGAAATCCCTTATGAAGCTGCTGTTTATTCTTTCTGAAGGAACATGTGATGACAACTGAAGACAACAAGTTCCTGCCAGTTCAATGATTGGTTCATTGTATATTAATATGGCTAACCAACACTTAGGAAATAACATAAAAAAAATAAAGCATAAACAAGTTCGTATGTGACTGACCTGCTATGGAATAATGACTGGGCATTATCTCATGACTATAACTGCATCATTGTGTTTTTATGGGTATAGACTTGATATACGTCTAAGTCTGAACGTGCTACTTTCTCCATCTTTCCTCACAATTACAACAGTCTTATATGTTGCAAATTGGAACTGCAGTCACTTGACACTTTGAATAGGATTAGAGGCATAAGAACGTGAAAAGTTTTCTTAAACAGTTGAGCTTCAGCCGTACAGGTTTCATAAGGTGGAGGATACCATCTGAATCAATGTATAATAACATTCTTTCTATGAAGTCTACTTGCTCCTTCTAAGGTCCTACTAGGCTATTTAACATCCTTCTTTACTTTTCCATAGAGTCGCCATTACTATATCCAATTCCCATGAAGTTTATTTCTGTGAGCTGCCACTATGTTATCTCAAATACTATATTACTTCAGATGAGTAGTGTAACCATTGTTTTTTTTTTGTGCAAGTTATAAGTCCTGAGGCAATTGTTTTTGCAGATCTCTTGTGTGGGTGGCTTTGGCTCTAACTCATACATGTATAAAATAAATGGGACAGCCAATATAAATGCAATCAGAGCTGCTTCAGAAGAAGGTATTTGCTAGTTTCTATTTTTCTACATTTCATGGTACTTGAGCCTCTGAAGTGAGACTCTGCTTACCACTACTTTCCTTTGAAAATGTTAGTTCAATACCGTAATGCCAAAAAGTTTTTGGTTTCGACTGGGATCTTTTTCCTTTTTACCAATAAAAGCATTACATTCTTGGTGTCGCTGCATATCTCAAGCCTCAAGTATAATGGTTTAGAGTGTGATGCTGGGAACTAATATTAATAATTTAACCACCTTTGCTTTTGCTTTTATCTAACTATTGCCTCTAGTAGGTAAATATGGGTTGATTTGAGTAATTTAGTGGCCAAAGACGTATTATTGATAGGAAATGATTTAGTGGATGCTCAAAACAGGTCGATGGCAAGATGTGATTAGTGGTAGGCATGGTTTTCAACCGTGGCCAAACTTTTGCTTAGTAGGAAAAATTGTAATGAAAGATTTTCAAAGATCCTCAGTCTTCTATTGTGTAGATTGTCCTCATTTCATTGAAAGAATAAGTTGTTGTCTTTTTATATTGTCTAAGCCTCACCTCATGCTAGCTTCTAGTGTTGAGCTTGGCCCAAGGTTGATTTTCACATGAACCAATCTTTTTTGGGGTTTTATCCACGTCCCAAATAACTAGGGCTAGGCGCGTGGAGGTGTTGGATTGTCCCATACTGGTTAAGGAATGAGTTGCTGTCTCCTTATATGCTTTTGGCCTTTTGGGTAAAACAGAAAAAAATATTCTAGGAACCGGCCAATGTGTTCCACCCATCCGATGAATGTTTTCACATTCTCTCACCGGTGATCATTCATCTATCACTACTCTTTGGCACGTTTCATCGGTCCCTTTCTCAGTACGTTCAAGCACCATTTATCTCTCGAACAACCACTCTGGTGCCTTTTAATCTATTCGTCTACTGTCGTTGCTACTTTCTACTCTAGATGTTGGGTTTCTTGTCATTGTTCTACCAATTCAAGGTACACCAATAATGTACCGGAGATTTCAACACCATATATCTTTTTTATGTTAGAGAACATACTCCTTTTTGTGTATAGTTTAAGAAACACTTTCTTTCGTTGTGGTGTTACCAAATGAATTTCCGGATGAACGAATTTAAACATCTATCTTCTTTTTGGTGGTTCTTTTGTATTCTGGCAAGATTTTGGCCTCAACTTTCTATGTTTTCAAAATATGCAAACTCAAATTGGTTTCTCCACTTTTAGTTTTGTGTGTGTGTGTGTGTGTGTGTGCAGTTACGATATCAAAAGTTTATGCGTGTAGATTCATACACATCTAGAGTCAGTCGTGAATAAGGAAAATCTTATAGAATGTTACATGATACCCGTCAGATATTCTGTATTTCATTGTATAATATTAATTTACCTTTTTAGTGCAGAAATCAATTACCCACCGCCTAAGACGCCTATATAAGGAGCATTTGTTGTCAATTGTTACTAGATTAAGTCAATGATTTTTTTTTTCTATTTTCACATTTATGGATTAAGGCAATAGTAGCAAAAAGTGTCTTCGACTAGCTAGTGGACTGCAGTGATCAATAGGACTGGAAAAACACATCACACATATGAGTTCATCAAACTTATCTCACAGATTTAGGCACCTAATTCAATTTCTTGAAGCCCCTTAAATTGTTTAACAATTGCTAGCACAAACTGTATTTGTGACTTTATCAAAATTTTCTGCTTGAGTCTTAAACTTTTTCGATGAAGAGCTTGAGTCTTTAACTATGCAACCATCTTTCATTTTGATCGATAAGTTTGTTTTTTCTTTGTTGGAATTTCCATATCCTTTCGTTTTAAATATAGAGAAGTGAATAGTCTCACATTCTATTTGGCTTTTCCCAGTAATGAACTTTTAACTACTAAAGACGTGTATTTTGAACCCCTGCTCATCTTGGATCCCAACTTAATTTTTTCCTTGTACATCCACTGTTCCAACTCCAACAAAGGAAGTGCTCCTCAACCTCTTTTTTCTGACTTAAGGTTTCACTTAAATTAATGTGATTTTCGGTAGAGTGGATGTCAATCAATCACTTGTTGCGCTGGAGAGCCACGATAATCCGTAAAATCCTTATTGATGCATTGTGTGCAGGAACAGTTTACGAGATTCATTTTCTGATGATTAAAGAAAGAGTTACAAGACTTGTTCATGGTTGACCAATGAACGTGCTTTTGCCAAAGACGACTCAAAATGGTTACGTTTTAGCTCCTAACATGGTTCTTGGCTTTTCAAATGTTTTCCCTAAGAGGGCCTTAATGTGAAACAATCACATTTTAGATCATATCAATCTTACCACCTCTGCATTATAAAATGGGTTGGATCTGTTGCATTCTTTATTCTTTTTGGGTGGGGTGGGGTGGGGGAGGAGGGATAAATCTTGGAATTGTTATGAGTCTGGGTATCTTTGCAAAAGTTGTACTTACGTACACATGACAACTATTAGTCTGTTAGAAAGGAAAAAATCTAGCCAGATTTCAACTCCTTTATTTGTATGCATATGTGAACAGGAGTAGTTTGTAGAGGTTTCTGCTGTATTTCCTGTTGAGCCTTGTATCACCGTCTTCAATTGATGATGATGCATTGATTTACGCAAAAAGGAAAGTTGTAGGCTGACTTCTATAAAGTTAATCTAAACATTCTATTTGTGGGATTTGGGTCATTGACACTACACGTGGTTCATTTCTATGTGCAGGTGTTAAAAGATTTGTTTACATCTCAGCTGCGGATTTTGGTATTGCAAATTACTTGTTACAAGGTTATTACGAGGGAAAGGTATTTGCCCAATATTTTCAAGTGACTCAGGGTGTTTGGGTTAGCTTAAAGCTTTTACCAGTAAAGTACCTTTTGGCTTATTTTGTGTTAGGTAACCTCAAAAGTTGTTCTAAACCAACTGCTTTTATGTCAAAACATGTCAAACTAGTCAAAAGCTATAAGTTGGGGTCCCCAAAGTTTTTAGCCTAGAAGCTATTTGTATTTGACCAAAGTTGTTTACCTTATTATTCCTTACATATTTTTATATTCTCTAAAGTACCCTTTCCTCACAAAAGACCTAATGCCATTTTTCTTTCTTTAATTTCTTCTTCCTTCTTTCGTTGCTTGGACTGCTCTATGGCTACCTCTTGTTTGTTTTTTAACTGTAAACTCAACATCATCAGTAGCAGATTACTTATGAAACCATTTTATTCACACAAAGGGAAGCATTTTATATATCCTCAATTTCTTTGCTTAATGTGCCTTACTCATCTAAACTCCTAGATAAGCTTCGGTGTGAGATGTACTTAGTGCATACAACAAATTAAAACCTTAAAAGCTCCAATATGCAAGTATCTAGGAAATTTTGACATTGCTCTGACGTTTCTGCGAGTTAGGTCGAGAATTAGGGTAAAAGATTAGTAGTTAGTCGAGAGTTTCTTCTTTCTTTCCAGGTGTATTAGTACTATTCTTGTATTTTCCTATTCTTAGATCTCTATTACTATATGTTGTTTCGTTCACTTCAGTTATCTTATTATTCTGTTATTACTATTTGTTGGTACCGCTTCGTAAATTTTTCCCTTTTCTTGAGCCGAGTGTCTATCGGAAACAACCTTTCTACCTACACCATCAGGTAAAGGTAAAGTCTGCGTACACACTACCTTCCCCAGACTCCACTTGTGGGATTACACTGGGTTTGTTGTTGATGATGTTCTGACGCAGAAGTGTCTATTTGCGGTTAACAAAGTTTATAGGTTAATCTCCCATTGAGAATGTGTTATTTGCAATTGTTAGCTATAGTAGAAATCTTCTAAACCTTCTTTTCCTCTTTCATGGATACTCATGGGAAATTGGTTGTTCCTTTTCAAAATCTCAAAATACTTGTCTTTTCACAATAAACGTTTATCATTACTGCTTTGCTAGATTTAAATAATAAAATTTGGGTCTACTTTGTAATGTTAAACGCTTGTGATTTTTATATAAAATTTGCACTATTCAAGTGTTTTTGTAGTTCAAAACTTTAATCAAAATTGTATTATTATATGTTACTTAGATAAATGAATTATCTTTATTAAAAATGGTCCTATCTATTCAATTTGTAAGTAGGTGAATTGAGACACAAATTAATTTATATTTGAATCAACTTAAATTATCAAATGTTGCAATAATCAGCTCATTTTTAATGTTAAACAGCTTCAAGTCGCATTTCGTTTGTTTTAACCCAACCAACATTTATTAGCACTCTCTAATAATAATATATCAACCACTTATTTTTAGTTTCAAAACTTTTGCTGAAGACATAATTAAATAAATAAAAGTGTGTTTTCTCTAATAGTTTAAGCTTTTAGATGAGACGGTCACACATTTCAACATGGTATCAGAGCAGGCAGAGGTCCCGGGTTCGAGTCTTACTGCCACCCAATATCCACAAAAAAATCCACATGCTTGGGTCATCAAAAAGAATCAAGCCCGCACTTGAGGGCGCGTGTTGAAGACATAATTAGATAAATAAAAGTGTGTTCTCTAATAGCTTAAGCTTTTAAATGAGATGGTCACACATTTCAACAACTCCCTCTTAACACGTACTGCCTATTCATAAACATTGGCTCCAGTGCTTAAAACGTGACGTTCAGCACATGATGTTTAAGAACTACTTAGATTCAGCTGGACCTGAACGTGCATGTGGTGCTTAAAAACTGCTTAAATTCAACTATCCCAAGGAGCTCTCATTAAGATTGTGTGGAGGAGATCAACTTGTACTTAGGCAATAAGAGAAACCATAAAATGTGGGTTTCTTGTCATTTACTAAAATTAACTCTATAGATGGGGATAATTCCCTAGTGCCACCTCTGCAGGGATTTGAACCTATGTTCCTAAGGTTGTTACTCACGTCTTCAACTGCTAAGCCACTCCTTTGGGGCAACATCAGTTCAGAAATACTTTGAAAGTGAATAGTTTGGTTCTTTATCCGGTCATTTTTGATAAGTTCATGTCTGTATCATGTCGTGCAGAGGGCAGCTGAAACTGAACTGCTGACCAGATATCCATATGGAGGTAAGCAAGTTGTGCTCATTTCGTACTTCTCCGAACCATTTTCTGGTGTGCCGGCTATATCTGATTAACTTGATGATTTGTCAATGAACTACTCAGAAGGTTTTTTGGTGTGCCACTATATACCAGACCTCTCCGCTTGACTTCTTTAAACCTCTCTGGAAAGAAGATGCATGAGCTATTTGATACTTCCCTTCATTCCAATTTATGTGGCACTCTTTCCTTTTTATTCAATCCCAAAAAGAATGTCGCATTTCCTTATATAGAAATAATTTGTCTTTAAAATTCCTATTTTAACTTTAATGAATTGACTTACAATCACACAAATATCTTTGGTTTGTTTTAGACAACAAGTTTCAAAAATCTTCCTTTCATAAATTTGGTGTCAAGTCAAATACTGCCACATAAATTGGGATGGAGGGAGTACATAATTAGAGCTTTTCTATTTTGTATCATTTTGGTATGTTTTTAGTAGGCACATGAGCCCTCCCATTTGAGGCAAATCGTTCAACATGTGTCCCCTTTCCTCTTGAAAGGGTCAGAGGAAGTATTGGTAGGAGTATGTTAGATTGCTTTTATTTGCTATAGTTGCTAGATTTGGCTAATGCCTAATTGTGAGCTAAGGGTTGGTTCAGTAATCCGAATGGAGTTTAGGCTTTTGGACATGAATTGGTTGATATTTAAAAAAATTTAGTAATATTTGAATATAAGTAGAAAAAGGGTATTTGAAAGTTGAAGTTGTTTTTGGACATGAAAACATAGGTGAAATTTCGCAAGCGAACTTGAAAAACTCTTAAATCCTCTTGAAATTTCATATTTCAAGTTTGAAGTTGAAATAATGGGTTAGTTTGATAAACAATTTTTGAAACAAGATCTATGGACAAACCCGCGTGACGACATGGATTTGTTGATATTTGGGGAAAAAGTGTTATTTGAAGTTAAGTTGAAAAACTTCCAAAACTTGTTTTTCAAACTTCAGATTTCATATTTCAATTTTGAAGTTGCAATAAGGGGCCAATGGGGCGTGTTTGCCTTTGTAATTGCAAATTCTTATGACAACTTAAGATTGGAAATTCATTTACTTTCATAGTTCAAGAGCTCACTTTTTAATAATTTCTGTCTTTTGCAGGAGTAATTCTGAGGCCTGGATTTATTTATGGTACACGTCGTGTTGGGAGCATGAAGTTGCCTCTAGGTGTAATTGGTTCTCCTCTACAAATGGTAGGTGTCTTTTGATTCCTGGCGTTCGAACTCCTTTTTATATGCTCATACTGCTGCAATTAATGGGGAGATCACTTGTGCTGCTTCCTTTTACGTTTTAACCGTCATGTCACTTTGGCCATGCATAGAAGCTCTTGCTTTTTTCTATTGGGTAACCCCGAAGCTCCTATGTAGATAATGAATAGGATGTGTATCGCATTCCCCCCAACGATTCTCTTGCCAGCAAAAAAAAAAAGAGAAGAAAAACTGTGGGGAAGAGGAGATCTTCCCTTTACAGATATGCGCAAGGATTAGCTGTATATGCATTTTATCTTGTCCTGCAGATGCTGCAACTTTTTGTGTTGTAAGTTTCTCGTCGTGTGTTGTATGTTTCTCATCGTTGGTAATCATAATATTACTTCCCTCAGATCCTGCAACATGCGAAACCGCTGAGTCAAATTCCCCTTGTTGGACCGCTGTTTATCCCTCCTGTCAATGTCACTGGGGTAGCAAACGTTGCTGTCAGAGCGGCAACAGACTCCGTATTCCCTCCTGGTGTCATTGACATTCATGGAATCTTACGCTACAGCCAGCAGAGATCTGTATAGATGAATGATTGACAGGATAGCATGATACAACCAGATGAGTTTTTTTTCCCTTTGGTGTTTCAATTTTTATTATCCTAATGTTAAGATGTTCTCCACTTAATATTTAATGAGTAGTAATGGGGTAGGGTGACCGCATTTTTTGACAGTTTCTGCTTCAGAAAACATCTGGCACGGACTATAATATTTCACAGCATTTTTATGGCTGGAAGGCGTATGTTATTAAAGATAAAACAAATTGTTTGAAAGTCAAAGAGTTTGGGTACCGAAAGTTTAGATCAAGTGGTTTAAAGTTTGGTCATAAATATTCTTATAGGTAGTTCAGTTTTCTTTACAACTGTACACCATTTGGTCTAAATTTTCCAGTGAACATGTGTGAAACTTTTGAATGACTTTGGTTCAAATGCTCTTAAGGTTTTTATTTTAATATGTAGTACAATTTCTTCAACAATTTTAGATCATTGGTCTAAAGTCATCCATGAACTTGTGTGGAACTTTTTAGATGACTTTAGTTATAATTTGTTATGGGTACTCCAACTTCTTCTACAATTTTAGTTATAAAATTGTCAGAACTAGGAGTGCAGAACCCTAAGGAATGCCAATGGCGTATCCTTGAACAAATAATTATCATACATTAGGTTGGTAGTAATGTAATGATTTTGGAAGTTTTCTTATAATTTCTTCATCTTCCGTAATGATTTTTCATTTCTTTAAATCCAACAACTAGAAGACGGGGCATTTGCATCTATATCTGGTTTTGAGGTCACAATTGAGCTTTTACCTACTTTGCAAAAAAATATTTGCAAGCCTATTCATTTTACGATCAACTTCAGACTTATCGGGTCTGAAGTGAAAAAATTGGTCTGAAGTGCAACAAATGTTTTCCTACACTTAAGGCCAATAAGTTTGAAGTGAAAAATTGCACTTAGGATGCACTTAAGGGCAAACGATCTGAAGTGCAACCAGTGTTTTCAGGCACTTAAGGCCAAATAGGCTTGAAGTGCAAATTGCCCAGAAATATAAATTTGTTCTTCTAATTTTAACAATCTAATTGTTTACCCGTAAAACGGTACAGTCGAATTTATACGTGGTTTCTAAACAAGTGAATTAATTCGATCCCGAAATAATAAAATAATTGAAGAAATACGCAATACTTAGCCTTGAGATGAAAATAAATTAGCAGAAACAGTAATTCCGGAAGCAGGGCTTCCGGGCACAACAATAATGAAATCAAGGAGTAAGAAGATTAAATTGTATAAAGTTTTGAATCGATTATAGCATAAGTTTGCCAGAAAATTCGTGTCCTTTACAATGATAACATAGCTCACTATTTATAGTTGCACCTAGGGAACAAGGTACTAGGATCTCGCCCTTCTTTAATGTTAATTATGAGGGCCATTGAAGAATGTGTAACGACGAGCGTAAATGACAAATTCTTTATAACGGGCAGTATAAATATTCTCCATTAAATGCTACCGGACGGTAGATATTTATTGTATCTTTATGAACGTTATTCTTTCCGGTGACAAATGGAACAGTTGTCTTCGGTTTTAACTGTGCTGTGCCTTCGGCTCTACGTGTCATTCTCTTATCAATCACTTAGCATAGCATATTTTACCCTATACAGATAGTCCCCCTGCTTTACGGTAATACAACTTTGTGTCACCGAAAAGTTGGTAGAAATATTCTTTTTGGCGGGAATTACACTGATCCCCTCTGAAAAACTTCTGACAGTTGATTAGACGCACGTATCTCCGCATTTAATGCCCTGAACACGCGTCATCCCACGATTCAGCATAACTTTTTCCGGTTATCAAGGTAATCATGGCCATGAATTTAACCGCCTAAACATTTACTTAAACGCATCAACCTCCTTTATTCATATTCCATAATTCTCTAAACTCTCTCAAAATCTCTTCATTCAACTTGTAGTCTGTTCTTCAACCTTTCTTTAACTCTTTTCAAACGAGAAAAGCTTTTCCCTCTTCCATAACATACAATGACTTCTTCTTCAAAAAATACCAGTTCCTCAAAGAACAAAAACAAAGCCGAGGCTCCTCCAACAGGGAGCACCATCATACCTAGAAGTCTTGTTACAACAAAAGACTTCGAAGAGAAATTTCCTTCTGTTAGCCCTCGTACATGGGCCGTTAGCAGATATCCTTCTTCCATCCGCACTTCCAGCATTCCTGCTGTGAAGGAAGATTGTCGTTGCCAGGATTTAGACATTATCGCTCCTGACCTGGCAGAGCGGGTAACCTTACCCAAGAAGGGTTTTACGTACTTCTATACGTATCCCTTCACTTTGGGGACATTTTCTTTGAGTGGAGAACTTGACTCCGTCATTGAGGAGTTTTGCCTCCACTATCAAGTGTGTTTGGCACAGGTGAGTCCCTCCGTGTGGAGGACGATTGCTTGCCTTCGGCGTCTGTGCCAGGAAACAGGGGCGGAGCTGTCTTTAGCTCATGTGATGAACCTTTATTCCCCCAAGATCTTCCATGGGGGAATGATCAACTTCAGCAAGCGAGGCCACTATGCATTGCTATCTAGCATGGATGACGATAACGATTGTGGGTGGATGGAACGGTTTGTCTTCGTTGCCACAAGTGACATTATCCCGGCCTCGACACCTTCCTCCCCGAATTTGTGGAACCACACTCGTAAGTATACAATTTGCTTCTACTCTTGTTAAAGATCCTTTTCTCGTCATTATTAACTTTTCTTCCTTTACCTGCCTCAGCGACTCGGAGTTCCCCTTAGGGTTGAGGGCTTGGACCAATGGGTTCAGAAAATTTTGGACGTTACAATGCTCGAAATCCGCTCGTGAAAAGAGATGTCTCTGAAATATGGGTGAAAAGCCAAAAATCATGGTAAGTTTAACTCATCATGTCCTTACTTTTTCTTATGAGAAAGTTATATTCTTTCCTCCTGTTGAATATAGGTCTACCCCAGGGCTCAGTTATCGTCCCCGATGAGGACATTTTGACTGATCCTGCTGATGCGGCGAGGCTGCTACAGAAAGCTTTTTCACAGACAGGCGTCTCCAGGCCTTCTTCTGGCGCAAGTGCTTCTCGGAGTCCCTGACCGGAGAACAAGCAATCAAAAAGAAGGCGTTCCTCCGCGGCCGGTGGAAAGAATAAGAAGGCGAAGAATGCTGCCCCCGAGTCGTCTCTGAAAGTCATGGTGACGAGCCCTCTGCCTCCGGCCATAGATACCGTGATGATTGACGATGATGGAGAAGCTAGTGAGGAGGGATCTTCTCTACATAGAAAACGACGACCTTCCTCAACTCAACAGACCGCTCAATCTGTTGAGTTAGTTACACCAACCGAGGATAGGGGTGTTCAAAACCGAACCGAAACCGAAAGCCGAACCGCAAAAGTAGCTTAATGGCTTATTAGTATCGGATTATCGGTTTAACGGATGAGGAACAAATTGAAATATTTTTATTAACGGCTTATCGGTTTGGGGGCGGATTATTCAATTTTCTTAATGG